TTCTTGTAAACTCATTTTAATTTTTTTTAGTTTAAAGCAAAATTAAAATAATTATCTGTTCCTTTTAATTGATTAAGGATTAAACTTTTAAACTGATTCAAACCTTGGTAGTATGATCCACGATGACAGTATTTTTTAAATCACACCATTGAAATTTTGGATCAGGTGATATTAAAAATTATACAATACCAAATAACGTAATTGGAAATAGTGGTTTGTACTACATGAATAAAATTCCAATAAAATTATAAACCAATTTTTTGTTTAAATATTAATATAGAGATACTATTTGTAAACATTTTTTAAATAGTACACGCCACACTCAGAGTTATACGGAAAAAATTTTATTTATGGTAAAAAATTGTAATTGTAAATTTCCTTTAAGGGATAATAAAATTTGTTCGTTATAGTGGACTTCTTAATAAAATCTCTTTATTGTGTATAATGGATTTTTAAAAATTTGATATAGAACATACCTTATAAATTATGTTCGTTATATATAGTGGAAATCATGTGGTTTTATGGCAATCTTTTACATTCATGGTTAATGTTAATGTGGTTTCTGTGTTAACAAAATTATTTGTGCATTATCCTTTTTTGATGGTGGCAATAAAGTATTCTAGGTTAATTTTTTTTAACAATAAATTAATGTTTGTACGTTATCCTTTTTTTTTTACTGATGGAAAAATTATTAGGAACCAAATCCTGAGGTTGATGATTCTGATGAAGAGGAAGAAGTGGAAATAATGGTTATTTCTGATAAAGAGGCATTGAATAGTTTTAGAAAAAGTGATCAATATTTAAAAAATCCACCAGAAAATTTTACAATTAGCTATCAAGAATTAAAAATGATTAATTACACTCCTATACAAAATATTGAATAATTGATAAAACGTTCATTTGCAAAACTTTGATTTGCAAACTTGTATTTAACACTTACTTTGATTGTGCCTATACGAACTAATGAATAATTGACAAAAGTTCATCAGTATATTTTACAAACTTCTTTGGAAGCTTTGTACATCTTGTATTTGAAGTAGTCAATAAAATAATTCTTTTTGGAGCTGAAAACCTGAACACAAATTCTTAACAATCAAAATTCTTCGGCTGAGATAGAGTGCACCAGAGAGGTTTTTATCAAGATACACTACCCGGAAAAAAGTATTTGGACACCTATTTACATTAATTACCCAAAAACATACATAATATCAAAATTGTTTATCAAAGTGCTCAAAAACACACATAATTATTATATTAAACCCTTAAATTCAGAGAGTATCTATCCAAAACATCACTTGTCTATTATGTTTAGTAATTCTTTTCGATTATATTCAGATTTTAGAAAAGAACTTGTTACCATTAATAGAGAGGAATTTTGATGGGAGAGGTTATTTTTTTCAAGATGATAATGCACCAGTTCACACAGCCAATGATGTTCAAATTTGGATTCAAACAAAGAAAAAATATCAAAAGAATAGTCATCTCAATCACCTGATCTTAACCCGATTGAACATCTCTAGAGTGAGCTGGAAAGAATCGAAAAAATCATCCAAAAAATGCAAATGAACTGGAAATTGCACTGAAAGAAGAATGGCAGCAAATTCCTTACGAAAAATTACATACACTCATTGAAAGCATGCCAAAAAGAATTGAAGCATGCATTTCTGATGAAGGATGGCCAACTGAATATTAATTTTTTTTTTGTTCCTCGACTTTTCGATTTTCACATAAGCTGAAAAAATAAAATTTTACATGAATATTTTTCAAAACCTAAGCTATAAAATGATATAAATTTTATATGTGGATATCATGTATGTTGTTGGGTAATTAATGTAAATGGATGTCAAAATACTTTTTTCCGTGTAGTGTATCATATAATTGTTTTTTTAAATTTATTCCAATTATTTTAAGAATATTGTATGGTAAGCAAATAAAATGAATAAAAAGCGAATGACTCGAATAAAATTAATAAAACGAATAAAATTAATAATAAGGTTGAGTTGTATTACGAATAATTGAATAAGAATCTGTATTACTATTACGAATAGAAACTCTAACTATTACTTTTATCCTGATACTAGTATTGTATTATTAATTTTTTTTTTATTGGGCAAATGTATGTTTTTTGTCATTCTAAGTAACGCATCTCAACCAAGTGTCTATACTATTGAATTCTGCACTAAAGCGCCAGACGTAAAAATGAATGTTAAGAGAAAATTTTTATCATAATTAATATTAATTTAGCCGGATAAGCTGTTTAAAAATTCTATAGTCGGATTTTAGAATTTTTAAGCAGTTTACAATTTTAAACCGGTTTAAATCTGGCTGCTATATTTGTTATTTAGTTTTGGTGTACAATTTCAAGCCCTGAACCTTATTATTATTATTATTTAAGAAATTATTAATTCATTCAAAATTATTACAAAGTAAAAAATCAACCCATTTGTTACATAATTCTGTGCTTATTTTTTCATTGTAATAGTTCTAAATTGGTCATTACTATATAAATTATATATATATATATATATATATATGGTAATAGTAATTATAAAATTTCTTTCTGTAAATTTAATTATGCATTTGCAAAAATTATTCCTTCCGATAATTGCATTTTTGCTCTTATCTGTTGAAGTTAATGCAGCAGAAAATGCAGTTTGTAGTACATATTGGAATAATCATTCAAGGGATGCGACTGCTTGTGATACACTTCATCCCAATGAATTGAATACTCCAACGTGTTCGTGTTCGCAAGATTACATTGATGCTTATACTTGGTAAATAAAAGCATTTGACTGAGGTCTTCGAATTCCATTCATTCATACTTTATTGATTTTCCTGCCTTTATTGTTGTCTATTTAGCTATTACCTTTGCGCGCTTTACGCTACTTCTCCTTATTATGATTATAAGCCACAAGGTAAGCATTAGCCCTATGAAAAATAAAATATATACTGAATTGCAGTCTTCAATATATTCTATATTTAATTTTTCATAATAGTAAGGCGAAATTTTATATTAAATTATTCCTTGTTTTTAAACTTACCAATATATTGCTTTCAAAATATTAATAGCTTATATAGATAATTGCGTCAAATTGAATTACAACGGATTATCTGTCCCTTCCAAACCAAATTGTCCAAGCAACCTCGGCATTCCGGAAAATCTTGCTAATCCAGTCTAAAATGGTCCTGGTACCTCAATCTCCTGGACAAACATTTTTATAAAATATCATTTAGGTAGAACATATTAAAGTATATTTATATGCAAAAGACAAATAATTTTAATTTTATAAGCTCTCAATTGAGTCAATTTCATGTAATGCTCCCAAAAAATTACTATTAAAGTTATCTAATTATACTTAAAGTACTCTTTATTACTGACCTTTGAGAAAGAAAAATAGCTGTTGGAACTGGAAATAATTGGTTTTTTTATGCCAGAAAAGTGCTTTTTTTATGCGAAAGTTAAGTTGACCTATATTTGATTTTATATCATAAATAATGAACTTTAATTTTAAAGTTATGCTGACGTTTGTTACGAGCGTGTTTGGAAAGGATTATGAAAAATACCTCTCTTTTTTTCAGTATGCTCCTTTCTCCTCATCGTTTGATTAAACGTTTTCCACGTGGCCTTGTGTTATAATTTTGCCAGAATTACTTATAGTACGTTGAAATTTGTATGTATTGCTTTTTTTGAAATTTTTTATTAACAACTAATAATGATAAAAATATTTTTGGGAATCGAAAAACTTATTTCATCGAAATGCATTAGAAAATAACGAAAGACTAAACCTTGATGAAAATCAAAATCATTGAAGTAATTGGCAAAATTAGTAGTTGTATCCGTTGATTATTCAGATGTTTGAGTACTTGGTCAATCAATAAAGCTCAACACCCGGATAATCAACCATTCACCGAATACCCGCCGAATACCCCGCCGAATGTCTATTGAATATTCATTGATTTATAATAATTATTTATTTATCAGGGAAAAGATTTTCAATACATTACATATTTTATTTTTTTTTTAAGAAATACAAATAACAACAGATTCAATTTTATTCGTTTGGCTGTCATTGTGTTTCCAGCTTCACTAAATACAGTCAAACCTTGTTACAGCGGATGAATGAAGATTTATTTAAACCCGTTGTGGCGAGATTGCTGATCTTACCACAACGGATTTTTATATGTTTTTATATTTTAATGTGAATGTGAAGCAAAATTTAAAAAATCTGTTACGTCAAGAATTTAATTATAGTCTACTGTGAGAAGTTTTAGCTGTAGACGCTCATTTGGAGTAGAAGTTACTGCAATTCATAAATATTCTTTAGATTATAATAGAAGGAATGTTGGTGATAGTGTAATAATAGTGGATAAAATAGTATTTTATTTCCATGTTAATGTATTAAAAAAATTTCTTTCAATTACGTGGACATGAAAGTTTCAACATCCGGATAATCGGTGAATAATCGGTGAATATCGGTTCAGCAGATATAACTACTACATCCAACGAAAGTAAAAAATTTGTTCTCAAAAAATTATATTATTACCTTTATCCTTGCCCTTATCAGGGCTTGAAATTTGTTCCGGAAAGAAACCTGATTTTAGAATTTTCAATCGGAGTTCTTATTCCTATCCAACAATTTCAAACCGAGTCTATATACGCAAATCCGGATTTTTAAATATTGAATTCGTAATTATTCATCATCTGTTGCGAAAGAAATCAAAAACACATTTTAATGTTGAATTAATAGATTATTCATTTAAAATACTTAATCCAAAAGAATGGAATTTTACAAATGATAATATTTTAAGTTATTAATTATTATGGAATAAAAGAGTTGAGCATTTTCCAAAACATTTTGGAAAAGAAAAGAAACGAATGATAAATTTTTTGATCCATTGATAAAAAAAATGAATGCAAAGATGAATGGATGATTTACAAAATAATAATTAAAATTAAAACAAGAATATCGAGATATGTTTCCAAATATAATTAGATTTTGATTGATTAAATTGCAAATACTTTTTTCAAGTTTACCATTTAAAGAGGATTCTTAAAACAGAACCTAATTTATAATAGAATTGTTTGTTAATAAATTGTTACAAGTAAGGAAATATATATGATAGCGGTAATTAAAATCCGACTTTTCGCGATTTATTTTTAGTCATAGTAATAGTAATAGCTGGATTTAAACCGGTTATTAACAATCCCTTATGCAAGAAACCCAACAACAACAATAATTAACATTGATCATCGCAGAAATTTTCCAAAAAATATTATTAAAAAAAAATCAAATTATTTGTTACACGACACATTCAAAGTTTTTTTATATGGCTGGCTACCTTCAATCGTACTTACATTGATAATAATAAAACTTCTTTCCGTGAATTTAATATGCAATTTCAAAAGTTATTCCTTCCAGTGATTTTATTCTTGCTCCTATCTGTTGAAGTTGTTACAGCAGTTGAAAGACTAGTTTGTAGTACATATTGGGATAACCGCAAAAGAGATGCGACTGCTTGTGATACACTTCATCCTGATGATTTGAATACTCCAACGTGTTCGTGTTCGCAAGATTACATTGAAGCTTATACTTGGTAAATAAAATTGATGTCTTCAAATTCCATTCATAATTTATTGATTTTCCTGTCTTTATTGTTGTCTATTTAGCTATTACCTCTGCATGCTTTATGCTTCTCCTCCTTATTATGATTATAAGCCTCAAGGTAAGCATTAGTCCTATGAAAATATATACTGAATTGCAGTCTTTAATATATTAAATTATTCAGACTTACTAATATATTGCTTTCAAAATATTAATAGCTTATGTAGATAATTGCGTCCAATTGAATTACAACGAATTGACTGTTCCTTCCAAACCGAGTTGTCCAGGCTTCCTTAAAATTCCATCGTCAGCTACTGTTAACTCAGCTACAAAAGATCCTAATCCCTCCTCCTCCAAGTCTCCTGGTAAGACGAAACCACCCGGCGATTCTCCCACCCAATACAATTCTCCTACAAACAACAACTGCAATAATGTAACTGTTATTGGCACGGGAAATGTTAATTGTAATAATAAAAATAATTCTCCCACAACCATCATCATTACTAGATTAAATTTCCTTTGTGGTTTATTTTTGGTTGCTACATTCATTCTATGAATGGGCAATAAAAACATAATTACCGGTGACTTCATGAGCATAAATAGACAAACATTTTATAAAATATCATTTAAAACACATTTTAATGTAAATAGCAAATAATTTTTTAAGTTATAAGCCCTCAATTAAGTCGATTTCAAGTAATGCTAAGCAAGAGCTGAAAACTACTAGTAAGGCTATTTAGTATTCATAATATACTTAAAGTACTCTTTATTACTAACATTTGAGAAAGAGAATTACTTATAAATATTGAAATCGGAAATTATTGTCAGAAAGTGCTTTTTTTATAAGAATAAGAAAAGTATAGAATGAAAGATGAACACATTATTTAATTTTTGTATTGTAAATAAAGGACTTTAATTTTAAAAGTTATATTGACGTTTGCTACGAGAATTATGAAAAAGTATATATCTCTTTTTTTGGCATGTTCCTTTCTCTCCACTGACTAAGCGTTTTCCTCTTTCATCCTACTTGACCTTGCGTTTATAATTTCGCTAGAAATTACCCATGTTGAAATTTGCACATATTGCTTTTTTGAAAATTTTTGTAATTGAAAATTTTTATTTGATTTGGCATTTTCTTTTTAAAGTGAATCAGTATTTGTATTAATATTGGTTGCCGAAACTATTTTGAAGAAGCGAAAGTCAAAACTAAAATTAAAATTTATATGTCAAAGCTAAATCAAAATTCAAAAGTCAAAGGTCAAAATTAGTTTCGACTTGTGGCGAAACCTTTTGACTTTCGAAACTCTCTAGTTTTGGAAACCAACATTAATTTGTATGGATTAAACTATTAAAAAAATTTTTTTTATCATCCTTCAAATCTATTATTTAACGATTTCTTTTCCTCTCCCAGCCACGATGATAATGGTCGGTTATAAATTCATTTTATTGACAATCTGTTCATGAATCAGAGAACTTGCTACAGAAACACTAATTTTTATACCCCAAACCAAAAAAAATTTTCAATACAATCAAAAAAAGTATATATAATCTTTGAGCTTTTTCTATTTGCATACACACAAAAAAATTTACAATTCCAGGCGTTTTCATATGATTATAATAATAATAATAATAATTATAATTGATTGATTGTTGTTATCGTTGCTAATTAAATCACGTATATTTTATTCTTTGTATTTCCTAAATACTAGTATTTTTAAAGAATGAAACTTTTGCTCACTCACTATGTGAGAAAACGAAATGTATACATATGTAATAGCATTGCCATCAGAAACGTAACATTACTCATTGAAATTGTTGGATGAACTAAATTTTATGATGTGGAGATTAGAGTTGGAATATTAAAACCTTTAAAGCTCACTCACTCAAGTACCTTGGAATAAAAATGATTTCAACAAATTGGAAACATTTAGAAGATATTATTCAATTAGTAAGGTACAATCAAATTGATACAAGTACTTATTTTAAAGATGTGTGTGTATGAAGAAATGCTTCAATGTCATCTTTAATGTTGGATGGCAACCAAAGCTATTACCATAAAGAAGTCCAAAGAATGGGAAATAATGTAAACTACTTGCCGTATAAATTTCTTGGTAGATCTTGGGATAGATTTTCAAGGCCAGTTTTTGATGAAACAATAGTTTTAATTCAAATCAAAGGAACATGGGAATAATTTGAGGTATAATCCAGTTTGTTAGAATTTAAAAGCAAAGTCTTTAGATGAAGAATATTACTATATTGAAACAGACGAGGCTTTACTTTTAAGATTGTTTAAATAATTCAATATTAAGTAAAGTCAAATATCCTGAATGTGCAATAAATCATAATAATCAAATTTTTAATAATACTAGAGATGGTGTAAATTTTATGATTTTATGAAATTTATAAATTAGTAAACGGAAAATAATTTATATTAATATTAATATACTGTATATGGGTATAATGAAAGGTAAACATTAATTATTTATTAATAAAAATAAATTTTTTTAAATTACAAATTAGAATTAAGGAATATGAATATGTGTGGTATTATTGGTTGATGTTATTCTTATATATTAAAAATTTTAAATTGGTATATTATCATTATATCCAATTATCTCCCCAATTTGAACTTTTTCCATCAATTTTACCATTCCAATTTCCACTATTACTTTCACTAGTACCACTGCTACCACCATTATAATAAACATCATTTGCAACAGTTTGGCCAGTTGTTGGTGGTGCTCGTTTTAAAACATATTCATTATTTTTCCAATACATTTCACCAGCTTTTGGATCATATGGTGGTGGAGTGTTAAAAATTTGAGAAGTCGTTGCGTTATAATTTCCTATACTTCCATCAACATCAATGTCAATTTGTTTAAATTCTTTTGGGTTTGTCGAATATGCTGGTTCAAGTTCAGCCAATTGGGAGTTTCTATGACTCTTGTTTTTTTTCTTCTTTAACAACCTGGGTGCGATCTCATACAAATTTCTCACTTGTTTTTTCACATGGTTCTCATCCAACGCTTCCTTGAACTCATCCGTTTGTTTCTTCCTTCTCTTAACGGCCAAATATCTGATCAACAGCACCATACCAACCAGGAATATGATTATTGAAAGAATTATTATTAGAATGTGCCACCATTCTAGTCCCTTTTTTTCTTGCGCTGTATCATTACCACTATTAGCAGCTGGCTGAGGTGGCACCAATTGATTATTTTCTTCGTTCTGGCATAATCTTTCACTTTTTATTAATTTGGTACCCGGGGGGCATGAGCTATTACAAGAACCATCAATCAATACATTTGACTGATTTGAACAACCAAGGCACTGATTAGCATCTGGACCAACACATGATGAACATTTTTTATTACATTGTTGACATTTGCCAGTACTATCAAGGTATGTTCCCATTGGACAAACTTCTATACATTGCCCATCTTTGGTTAGCACTGGTCTGTTTGATGGACATTTTGTACACTGATTGATACCAGGTCCTGAACATTCTGCACAATCTGGATGACATTTTGTACATGTTGTATTTAAAGACACGTAGGACGATGGACATGGCGTTGGTGAACATACTCCATTAATAGCAAAATTAGCGGAATTTGAACATGATAAACATTGATTTTCAAGAGGCCCACTACATGACTTGCATGCGGAATTACAATCTAGGCGAGATATAATAGTATATATATTTAAATATTTAAATATAATAAAATTATCGCTTCAAACAAGTAAATAAATTAATAAGTTACCTTTACACGTCATATCTTTGTCAGCAAATTTGTTGGATGAACAAGTTTTAACACATTTACCATTGTCTAAAACGAAGCCTGGCATGCATTTGGAACAAGTCATGCTCTCCTTTGGACTTTGTGGAGTATAGCCTTGTATAGAACAATCGGTGCAAGAACTTGGACAAGCTATATTAAAAAATCATAAATGCCAAACATTAATTATATGTAAATAAAATAATAAGTAAATAGGAATACAAATGTTGATTAATTGTATTTACCTTCACATGCACCTTGCGAATTATCAATGAAAAATGCTTGCTGCGTAGCAACGTTTAGTTGACATTTACCATCATTAGTAGGTTTTTGTGGAAGGCATCCACCATTAAAATAACTTAAAGGTGGTAGACATTTTAAACAGTCTCCAGGACCGGGACCATAACAAGTTTGACATTGGGTGTTGCATGGTTGACATAGTTGTGATGCTGAGTCGAAATATTGGCCAGCTGTGCAACTATTTGCTGCAGGAACGCATTTTGTTGCATCATCAGTACTTAAAGCAAGTGATGGTTTACATACTGTACATTTACCAGTTTGTGCTTCACATGAATTACAACCCGATGAACAAACTTTGCAATCTTCTCCTGAAGCAAAAAAACCAGTATCACAAGTTGAACATAGTTTCTTGGGATCATTTGGATCATTGGCCCATCCAGCATTACATGAACAAGCTCCTTTATCATCACAAGTACCGTTTCCACAATTACATGCTATTATTATCAATCATGATTATTATTGAAAAAAGATTATTACTACCTTTATTTTCATCATAAAAATTTTTATATATGAGATAAATAATTAATTAATACCTTGACAATTTGTGCCGAAAAATCCAGGCAAACATAGATCGCATTTTTCACCAGTGAATCCATCCTTACATTTGCAAGCTCCTGAACCAGATAAACCATCTTCACAAGTAAATTTTGTTGGGTCACCACATGAGGTTTGACATGCTATTTATTTCATAGATAATATATATATATATATTAATAAAAATATATTTTCTTTGATAATTTTTGATAATAGTAATAACAATAGTTAGTACCTTGACAATTTGGTCCAAAAAAACCAGGTAAACATTGATCGCATTTTTCACCAGTGAAACCATTCTTACAAACACATGTTTTTTTCTCATTACAAAAACCACCTGAACCACATTCATTTGTACATGATGCTATAACAATAATGGAAACAATGAATTAGCTTCTTTTTTTTTAAAAAATAAAAAAACCAAATCAACTTTTATCAAACAAAAAATACCTGAAGATATATCGAAACTGCCAGCTGGTGCTTGATTAGTAGCAACGGACACACCAGTAAAATTGGCAACAGGTTCAAATAAACCAAGATTTGTACCAGAGAAATTAGAGGATTGCCACACAACACCACGAAAACCATCAGGTACCATAACCGAACCAATCATAATAGCTTTTGTTTGAGTAGTTGTTTCTGAAGCACCAACTTCAAAAAACTCACTGTTACCAAAATATGCAGGTTGTTCATAAATAACCACTCCAGACTTTAACTTGACAATTATTGTAGAAGTTAATAATTTTATAGGATCAGCTTGAGCAATATCAGAATCATAAATTATGGGATCGCTTCCTCCCGAATCAATCTCAAATAGAAAACCGGGTGGAATCTCAAGTGAAAATGGTGATTTGAAAATGCTTGTTGGGAGAGTTTTCGATGTATATTGATCTACAACTAATTGGGTAGCATTTCCACTAAATAATGGATTAATATAAATGTTAACAGCATCTAACGGTTGATAAAATATATTTGTTAGAGTCAAGAATAAATTTACAAATAAAAAATACCAATATATATACATATAAAAACTTACTAGGAGCAACATTATAAGTTTTCCATGACATAGGTGTAGAATTATTTTGACAAGTATCCAAGCCTAAATTATCAGCTAACATTGTTAAACATTTTCCATTATTTGAGCTGCTCGTGAAAGTATCATCACTATTCAGTTTCCATTTTTGAGTGACCCCATTATCACAAGGACAAGCTTGCACAGCAGAATTGGATTGGGTGGTAAGGCATAATTTGTTATCTAAGGATTCAATGAAAATTTCAGTCGAATTTGATAATGGCTGAGATGGATTTGCTGAAATAAGATTCCATTTTGTTAAATCAGAAATTTCACCAAATCGATCAACAGGACAACTTGTAAGAATTATAGGTGTGCAACTTTGGGTTGAATTGCTTGCATATTGTAAACAAGTTTTTGATTGTTCATTGCGAATGAATTTAGCTAAAATGTCAAAACGGTTAATCAAAAATTATTTTTTTGATGTAAAAAAATTTGAAAAATATATAGTTGTGAGATCTACCTGCTTGTACATTAGTATTCAAATTTGTGAAAAGTAGCAAAAGAGCGAAAACTATTATAATAATATCAAAATTCCTGCTTTGTCCTTTCATTCTTTATTATTATGTCAAGTTAAGATATATATTAATTGAAATTAGTGGTTATATACAACTAATAATCTATTTAAATAAAAATCTATTTATATAACAAAGAGAACGAAGAGATGCCAGCTCTCTTGTTATTTAATGAATGAAAAAAGAAAACGTATAAAGTGTATAAACAAAAGCTAATACTAAGATTCGAACGACTATGGTACCCTTGGTTTATTATTATTAAGAAGAGTAAAAAATCATTTTTTTACAATAATTATCCATTATATATAAATTTTTCAGTATAATATATGTACACTACTAATATGGAAAAAAAGATAATTTGTTTCTTATTTAACTTATTTGTATTGTGCAATCTATAATTAATAAGGAGGCGTTTGAGAAAAGGCTGATCATAGTAGCGATCTTATCAAATTAAGCATAACTTATTGGTCGATTTTTACTTAATTCGGTAAGATTATCAGACCCTTTCAATTTATTTTTATTTTATATTGTCTTATTTGCATTCTTTAAAGAGTCCATAAATTTGGATATAATTTCGACAACTATGAAACTTAAGTTTCGATAATGATCATTAAGAAGGAATAATCTATAATTCCGTAATTTAATAATCTCGTAAACATTATTATTATTGTTGTTGTTATTGGCTACCGTAATTGTTTGCTCAGAATATGGCGTGTAACCGTTATAAAAAATTTTATGAAACCCTTGGTCACAGTTTCAAACGTTAATTCTAGATGATGCATATGTATATTTTTTTGAATTAATTATTATTATGGTTTGGTGATTTCCCTATTAATTGAACAGTTCCTTAGAATTTTTACAAGCATATTTTTGCCAAGCTCTCAAAAGGTTTTGGGTTAGGATTCCGGGTTTTCTTCGTTAGTAGTTACAATTTCAAAATATTATAGAACAGTGTTGACATATGACCTCAAATTACTTGTGAAATGACCAAGTCACTACCAAATGACATTTAAACTCTCGCCTTGACAAGTAGTAAAATATTAATTAATTTTTTATCAAACAAGTGATTTTTTTATATAGTAATATTTATAATTTCGTGGTATTTTTGCACCAGATTCATTATGATCAATTTGCTACGAATTGGTGGCCCACGCCAACAAAAAAAAAAGTTGAAATATAACTCAATAATGTTGTTTTTTCAGTTCGTGCTGTTAAACAGCTTCGAACCCCTGTTTTATTGTGAGATAGGTGGAGAATTCGTAACTTGTAAAACAGCACAAAAAAATTACTAATAAGACAGGAACATAATATTGCACTGGGTTTTGGCTCTCCTAATATTGTTAGAGAATTATCAACATTTTTATTATTACTTATTCATAAATGATAAACTGATAATATTTTGTGGGTAATTAGGTTATAAATGTATATATTTTTTATAAAAATTGAAGGTATTAAATATTAGCCTTTTATTAGAATGCTTCTTTTTAGCTGGAGAAGCTAACAAACTAGATGATACAGAGCTGAAGCTATGTCGGAAGAGTTGAATGTTATGGAAGAAGAATGTCAAGTTGATAAAAATGAGGTTCCAAAACTCTAAACTATCCGTGGATGAATAACCACTTATACTGCAGTATTTAAAAATGAAAATACCAAGAGGACATTGTCAGCCCAACTAAAGTGAGTATATAGAAAATAAGCAATTTATCAAAAAAAAAATCTTCGAATGGCGACTACCTACATATCTTTCTTTTTTTTCTATGTTATAAAGACTTTTTTTCTTATTCTATCGTTTCATATAAATTTGATGCAATATTATTTCTGGTGACAAAGAATTTTTAAACGGCTTAGCCGGTTAAATCAATTAAATAATAATAAAATTTTCTCTTAACATTCATTTTTACGTCTGCGATTTTAGTGCAGAATTCAGTGGCATAGACACTTGGTTGTGATGCATTAATTAGAATGATTAAAAAAAACTGTACAGTTGCTCAAAAAAAGAATTTTACAATGCTCTTAGCAGGATAAAAGATAATAAATAATAATAAAGAAAGCAATAGTAATAATAATAATAATAATAATAATAATAATAATAATACCGGCAAGCTTAACACTAGAGTTTCTATTGGTAGTACTCAATCTTAATTCGGATTATTCGTTTTGTTCGTTTACTAGCACTCAAAATCATAACGAATAAAACAAATAATTCGAATAAACCTTATTCCAATAGAACCTACTCAATTAGTATAGTCGTGATTTTAGTTTAGTTTGAACATTATTGGCTGTGTGCCTATTTATAAAATATTCACATATAAAAATAAATAAATATTAACATGAAGAATATAAAATAGAATCATTGATTCGTGATCTGCGATAGTGTAAATTCCTTTATCCAAGAAAATAAAAAGTTTCGTCATCTTCTCTGTCATTATCAGAAATGAATGATGACATTTCCGAATTTTTTGATTCTTCGTTCAAGCAATTAATTGAATTAATCTGTCCCCGATAGAATTGGTGGCAATAGTAAATAATATCAACTTTATCAATTTATGGTCGTCGATATCTTTATTATCATTGTTATTTTGTTATCATCATCAGCAGATGCAAGATTTCCTTCGAGGTTTTTGTTTGATAATTTATTTTATCAGCATCGTCATCACCATCATCATCCTCATCATTGTTGTTGTTATTTTTATTTCCGAAACCGAAAAAAATAACAATTATTATCTTTGGGAGGAGATGGGTCGATCATTGTAATGGAATGTAAGGATGAATTATAATAAGTATCGGCATTACTAGAATTGTCAAAACTATTCACGTTAAAAATGTTAATTATGTCGTCATTATTGTTATTGTTGTTGGTGTTAGAATCACTGATATATTTATCACTATCACTAGTGTTACCCATATTTTGCTTCATAAGCAGATCTTGTTCATTCATAAGATCGTTAAATTTAAAATCGTGATACGCTCCACTGCTATGATTACAATCTGTCGAAGCATTTTGTAAGTGTTCGTTCGTGGATTTTTGTATAATAGTTGGTACAGTATAATGTTGTTCCCTTAGTTTGTCAAGATATTCAACAACAGATTTGATATCTGGTCGATTATCTGGGTCTGAGTCCCAACATCTAGTGCATAAATCAAAGTACTCTTCAGGAGTTCCATCAACCTTAGTTTCTCTTTCACCAGACAGATAAACATCCTGATCATTTTCAATCCATTCGTATGGTGGTCTACAACTTGAGATTTGCCATAACAAAATTCCTAAACTAAAAATGTCCGATTTCTCGTTTTTGGGGTGCTCGAGACATCTGGGATCTGTATATCTAATTTTTCCATAAACTTTTTCTCTAGATTTTGACAATCCAAAATCCGAAATCTTAATATTATCATCGACTATAAGAACATTTCCCGCATGCTACAACAAATATTTATAAGGTTAATGTTAATGTTAACAATGTGTTAATGCTATACTATTAAAGAAAGAAAAATCATTAAAGAAGTACCAAGTCTCGATGAATTATTCCTTTACTATGCAATGCTTGTATGCCACTAGCAAGCTGATATGCTAAACCTAACTTTTTTGTCCAATCCAATTTATCAACATTTGCAGACAAATATTCATGGAGCGTCCCGTGGTTAGCGAATTGTAAAACCAATGAATAATTTCCCGATTTAGGATCTATTTTTATAATTTCGTATAATAAAAAAATAGAATGTATTATTAATTAATTTTTTATTTATTGGTTCTTAAATGTAAAAAAAATATTACTTTGCGTTATCCCATAAATATTCAAAATATTTTCATGGCCATCAACTTGACTATGTGATCTAAACTAAAAATAGTCACGTATTACTTTAGTGGGTGATAGATAACTAATTACAAATACTCACGGGTCTAAAGAATGTTATACCTCGTGGACAAATTGTTTCATAACTTCACCGTCATCTTTTTTCGTCTTTTTCATAATTTCTTTCAATGCTACATCCATATCGCTCTTCCATTTGGCTCTATAAACTTGTCCCGAAGCACCTTTATTGATATAAGTAATACCAGAAAATATGTTGTAAGGAAATTTAACTATTTCTGCGTCGTCCAACCATTTCTTTGGATCTTTTAAAGATCCATTAATTATTTCGGAATCATTGTTATTGTCGTTTCCGTTGTTGTTGCTGCTGTTGCTGTTATTGGGTGTTAAATTACTGGTAGTTGTATGGGGTGCTGAATTATTGTTATTATTGTTATTGTTGTTATTATTATTAATAATAATATTATTGTAAAGGTTATTAATGTCAGTTATATCATTATTATCGGTGGATTTTTTTTTAGAAAATATCTTTTTGATGTTAAAAAAATCAAATGTTTTTTTTGTTTTTTCCTTTATTGTTATTCTCATTTTAAATGAAATTTACACCAAAAGAAAGAAAGAAGAAAAGGAAATTCTAAATTGTCGATTATTTTTTGATTCGAAATAATAATGATGAAAAATGACCTTTTCAATGAAAAAAATTAATTTGGTAAAAGTAAAATGCAAGCTACTAAATATATATATTATAATAATAGTAACATTTCGGGAAACTTGCAGTTAATTTTAACGCCCACAGGGAGGTATTAATATTAGTAATTCGAAGTTGCGCCACCTACGGGTGACTAGAGTTGCGAGCACAACTTTAAAATTTAAAGAAACGGTTTATATTTAACGCTTTCCCTACGTCAGTATTATATACTATGAAACAGATATATTTTTATATTCAAGCATACAGTAGTTTAATAACATTATTAATAGGTTTAGACAATGCATTAATAACACAATTATTATAAATTTTATTTAATAAACAGCATCAAGATGTAATGTTTGAAGGATCAAAAGGAATTGTATTAAACTTGATTTGATTTGTAAATTTTAGTATAAAATATTTTTCAATACAATATAAACTTGGGACTTAATCTTTTGCATATTTTGAAATTATTAACGCTGCAGTCATGTCTCTACTATTACCACATTTATTCAGGTAGCTCCACAAATTCACCTTCGCTTACCTTTTAAATAAGGAATCCATTGAAAAATTTCATAACCCGTTGCTTTAACTGGATGATTTAATCAACTTGACAATAGTTTCATTACCATTGAATCAATGTGTTGCATAATTTACACAATTCCCAATTAGTATTATACTCACATTTGAGCTTGCTTGCTTTATACCATATTCAAAAACCTTTCCATTAAAAAAGAATTTTATTTCAAAATTCATATAATTAGATTTTATAAAATATCAACACACTTTTAATTGTACCTTGTAATTGTAGGTAGAACATTAACTTGTAGAAATATCAAATCCTTGACACACATAGCCTTTAAATAATAAATATGTTTTAAGCAATTAAGAATAAATTATTAATTAATAGAGTCGGTGGATTGGTTCAAAGCTTAATAGGTTGTATAAACTGGCATTTGGATGAAATTTTGCGGTAATTTTTCATAATTAATCTGATTTGTCAAAGTTACCCTTTAGTACATAAATAAAGAGTAACCCTATTTATTAAATTATCAGCAAATGCACAACATAATTTTGGGCAGTTTGATTAATTACCTGGGTGTTTATAATCCAAAGACTTATTTATATACTAACTGGACAAAAGTCACGCACACCCTAAAACAAATAATTACATATTAATATGCAAAAAAATAATGTCATTTTGTAACCTAGGTCCTTGTTAATCCATATGCAAAGTTTCATTTCTCTAACGTTTCTAAAAAAAATAATAAATAAAAAAATAAAACTTGGTCCGAATTTTTTTTCCAAGAAAATGATCATCAAAAACATCAACAAAAAAAAAATTGCTCAAGAACTCACATAATAATCATGTCTAAAATTTTAAAGGAATATACATAAAATCAATATTTGGTTGGCCACCCATTATTTTTAATAACAGCTTCTATTCTCCTTGGCATACTTTCTATCAGTCTCAATAGAACATCCATTGGAATTTACTCCATTCTTCCTGTAATGCGAACTCCAACTCATTAATATTTTTCATATTTTTTGGGTGCCTTCTAATTCTTCTTTCCAACTCTGACCATAAATGTTCAATTGGATTCAAGTCAGGGGACTGACTTGGCCAATTAGACAAAACATTAATTTTATTTGTTAAAAACCAATTTTTTACAACTTTCGCAGTATGGACGGGCATTGTCATCTTGATACAAATACCCCCTCTTATTAAAGTCTTTTTCAATTAAAGGTAACAAATGGTTTTCTAGTATTCGCATATATCCTAAGCTATTTAATTTACCATCCACTTCTATCAATGGGCCCAAACCTTTTCCTGAAAAACAACCCCACATCATCACAGTAGGAGTCATGTTTTCAATATTAAACCTGGTACCAGGAGTTCTCCAAACATATCCTGGTCCATCATTTTTATAGATTGTAAATCTACTTTCATCACTCCAAATGATAGATTTCCATTTTCTAACCGTCCAACTCCTTCTCTCAAGACACCAATTTAATTGATTAGTTCTTTGTTGGTCATTTAACATTGGCTTTGCTGCAGGAACATGAAAAAAATATTTAATTCATGTAATGTTCTTTAATAGTCTTAGTTGAAACATCACTATTTGTTTTTTATTTGCTCAGCAGACATTCGATTATTTCGCTTTAAAAATTTTCATTGTTGATTAATTTTGGACAACCACTTCGCTGCTTTGTAGCAAGACCTTCACCATCAATATGTTTTTTAATAGTACAAGATATTGTTGTTCTATGAATATCAATAAATTTGGCTATTTTGGAAATGGGTTCATTATTTTTGTAAAGACAAATAATTTTGCTACGTTGAATTCCAGTCAAAGCCAACATTTTTGATATTAATTTTTTTAAATTTTCAAAAATATTTATTAAAATCAAGCTTGTTTACAAAAAAATTCATAACATCACAGATGGTTATTTAAGATGCGTATTATCATATGTTAAAATTTCAGATGAGGTTATAATGCACGTTTTTATTCAATTCATTTTTTTTTTGAAGTGGGAATATTTGGGGAAAAAAAATTCGGACCACGTTTATTTTTTATTTATTATTTTTTTTAGAAATGTTAGAGAAATGAAAATTTGCATATAGATTAATAAGTACCTAGGTTACAAAACGACATTATTTTTTTGTATATTTATTATGTACGTTTTTATGCAATTATTTGTTTTAGGGTGTGCGTGACTTTTGTCCAGGTAGTGTATATACACGTATAAATAAATAAATTGGTGACATGAATATGAATATATGAATTTGAAAATAAAAATAAATATAAATATAAATATAAACGTAAATATAAATGTAATGTAAATATAAAAGAAATATATTTTAAATTGTATACATCACTTTATAATTATACCCTGAGTATATCTGCTATTGTTGTTTAAAAATCCTTCTTGTTTTTTAAATGCATCATAAAAAAATCAAGATATAACCTATTATATGATCTTTGTATTATTGGAAAAAATTGAATATAAGTTATAAGTTAATCAAATATATAAAATAAACACTTATTTCTTTAAAGTATAATAATGATGAGAATATAGAATAAGCCTTTACCTGCAAGTATAATAATGACTTATTAATAAAGAAAAATGTTATCATTCATATTTAAAAAAAAATAATAATGACACAATTCTGACATACGGATCACAGAAGCCTTAAACTTTTACTTCTAAGGTAACCTATTGAAATCAAATTGATCAAATTAATCAAGTTTTACCAAAATATAAAGAAAAGTCAAAGTGATATATAGATATAAAAAATTTTTTTTCCATATAATGGGGTTTTGTGCGACTTTTTTCTATTCTAAATTCAATCGACGATCGATTTTGTCACAAGTGATAAAACGAATGTCCACTATGCTAATATAAATCAACCAAGAGATAGATCTCATTGGTCATTATTAATCTATATTAAAGAACTTAATACATTTTTTCATTTTGATAGTTGTTACGTTTAATTTTCAGAAATTATTAAAATTATAGGTACTAAATAAAAATAACTATTAATGATATTATGACTGGTATATTATAAATGTAGTTTTATTTTAATATATTTTTTATTGGCATATTCAATAATCACCTATTAATAATCACATTATAATTAGATACAGGTAATACACTTTCTACTAATATTAATTGCTAATATTCTTCTATTATTTATTACTATATTATTGTGGAATATATGTTTTATCTTTTATGGACGTACTTTATAAAAGATTCTTCGTTAGACAAATTAGATTACTTTGAAATCAGTCGTAAAATAATATGATTAAATTAAATTTTTAATTTAACTAAATCAAGTAATCACATTATTAAACAATTGTCCATTTTTCTCCTCCATTTATTGTTGTTTTTGAACAATCAAAGTTGATTATTTCTCTTTAGGGTTATATGGAATCTTAAAAAAATTTCCGATAATTTTCCCCATAGAAATTTGAAAAAAAAAATTTTTTTTCTCCTTTAGTATAAATAATTTTGAAATGTCAAAATTTTATAATAAAATATTATAATCCGGCGGTTTCCGTACTACTTATAAAATAAAATGACAATGGATAAAAAATAAATGAAACTTTAAAATATAAAAATTTACGACCAATTAAATAATACCAAATTTCAATTCATTACAAATATGTATTTTATTGAAAAATAATAATAGTAGTTAATAAAATAATGCTTTTTTTGACCAAAGCTGTTTTTGTTCAAAAAAGAGGAAGTAAATAATTTAAATGAGAATTCACGCCATTGTTTTTTGTTTGTGTTAAATGGATTTGTTTATGTATCAAGTCACACACATTATGTCATTATTTTTTGTAACTATATATATTTATAAAAAAAAAATATTTTAATTCAAGAGAAAAAAATCCTTTTCTTTTCATTTGTTACGAAATTTCAAATAATCTTTAAAACAAGACTATATACTATCATCGTTATGGGAATATTATTATCAATTTATGATTTATTCAAACCATCTCCAGTAACTCCAATACTGTCATCAGTAACTTTATCTAATTTTTCATCTTCAACACCAGGCTTAACGTCAGATTCATTTCAATCATTTCCACCAGATTGTATACCAGATGTTTTAAAATTTTTAGATGATGATTTAGATGCTTTATATTCTTGTTTATTTGTAAATAGACTTTGGTGTAGAATGACTATTCCTATTCTATGGAGCAATCCTTTTAGATTTGGTTTTCATGAAAAATCTGCTCATTTAATTCATATTTACATTTCATGCCTTCCCGAAAATCACTTAAACCATTTAATCAAAAAGGTCAACTTAAATTTACCAAGGCTTTTCAAACCAATTTTCAACTATCCAAAATATTTAAAAATTTTTCAAGACGATCAATTTATTTTTGCCATAAGGAAATGGCTATCAATAATCGAAGGCTCAAACGATCTATACCAGTGTAAAAATGTTCTTCTAGTACACAACCTACTTAGTAACTACATTTTTAATAATTGTGTAGGAATATCCGATTTATACAGCGGTGACGAAGATTTATCATTTCCTTATTATGTTAATGATATTTCTTCTTTTACTGGAATTGAAAGATCTTTAGTAAAATTAAACAAATTTGGTTATATTTTCAAATCTCACAATTGGAACAGTTCTAAATCAGATTATCAATCAAAAATAATTTGCAACTTATTCAATCTATTGTCCAACAACTCTTTTAATATAAAAAATCTTTATTTTAATATATCTCACTCTTATGAAGAAAATGGCGATCTTATAGGTGTTGTAAAAAGTATGGTTGATTTAATAGAATCTCAAAATAATCTTCAATATCTTTCATTCTACGAATTTTGGTCTCCTTTAGATTCTTTGAAAATATTTAATTCTTTAAAATCTCAATCATCCACTTTAAGATACTTATGCTTTAAAGATTTATCTCAATTAAATCATTTATTACCTATTTTATCATTTTTAAAAAATTTAGAAACTTTACATCTTGACAATTGTTGTTTAGAAAATTATGATTCTAGTAATTCTATTTTGAAAGTTTTAGGTTCTTCAAAAATCAAAAATTTATATTGTAGAGATGATAGACCAAATGCTAATGTAGAAAAATTTATTAAACCAATAATTGAAAGTTCAAATATAAATTTAAAAACAATTTCATTAGATTTAATCAGTAATAGTTTAATTGATGTCATTAATTTTAATTGCCCTAATTTAACTCATTTATCATTATCAATATTAACAACAAGAAATATTCAAAACATAATCTATCAAGAAAATCCTCAATTTTTATTATTAAATTCTCTTATCAACTTATTAAATTCTTTAAAATATTTAAAACATTTACATTTACACATTGATGTTTTATTATCAATATTTCAATCAAATGATGATTTTCTCAGATTTTCAAAGTCTTTGCCATCTTCACTTTTATATTTTGGCATTGATTTTGAAATTACTTCAAAAAGATTAGGCAATTTATTAAAAGAATGTCCTGCTTCTTTAAAAATACTATCATTTCAGCGTGCTTTAGATTTAAATGATGAATGTTTAAAAGTTTTGATTAACTACGCAAAAATAAATTCTAATTTTAGAGAATTAAGAATAGATATAGATTTTGATCTACCTAATTTTTCAAAAGATTTACTAGAAAAGGCTCAAAATTACATTCCAATTATTGATAAAGCATTACCTGAAACATGTCCATTCATTGGGTAAGTTATTACTTTTATTCATTCATTCATTATCTAATATAATAATCATTTCATTTTTATTAATTAATTTTTTTTCATTTCTCATAGATCATATGGAGAAAATTATTTTAATATGCATTAAACAAAAACACCTTATACTTTTGTAAATAATTATTGTAAAGTAGTTTAGTTATTAAGATGAATTAAGTTTTTTTTATTATGAAATTTTGTAAATATATAATATGTATGTATGTATGATTTTTTTAGCAAAAAACTAATTATGATTATTAATAAATTAAAGCACCCAACTTGACTATTTCATGTGTTAAGAGATAATTAATAGTGGAGCGTTTTCATACCCAAAAATGCAAATTTGAGTTAACCATCATCATCAGGAAAACAGGATGTCAGTACATCATTTGTATACATCATATATTAAACATGGTCAAAAGAATTGCACACCTACAACATTAATTCTCCCAAAAAATTTTCTGTCAAGAAAAAAATTAATAATCACACCTGAGATTTTGACATGTGATAATACACACCTTTGAATGTTGATTATCCGGGGTGTTTGAACACTTAGAAATACTTGGGGCGAACTGGTCCTTTGTATATTATGGGTGTTTAAAATCACCATATGCGTCGGTGATACTCTAGGAATATTAACGCGAGTTAACCAAATTTGGAAAGATACACAAATTTTCGCAAAAGTAACTAATTTGTAATTAGTATTAATATTAGCTAGGTATGTGCATTGCATGAAACACGCTTGAGATCAAAAAAAACTCTTTGTAAAAGCCTGGCTGCTTTAATAAAATTGGAACCACTGTCTGTAGTTATACAGACAATCTTTTCTTCTAATTTCCACAAAAAAATTATCTCTTGTAATTTCTGACAAATAACTTCAGATGTATGTGGATATGGGATGTGAACCAATGATAACAAAGCTTCCTGTGGTTGATATTCATTAGAAATCCGATGAAAAGTTACTCCCAAATATCCATGTTTGCCACAAGAAGTCCAAAAATCACTTGTCAGTGATATATATTTGGATTCTCTC